AAAGTAGTATACAAGAACACCTGCGTAGTTCTCAAGCTGTCAAGTCATTGACACGCACTGACATCTATTTAGTACATCTATAGTAGTAAGTAGAGGTGTAACACAACGTTTTCACTTTTGTAACAGAAACAGTGTGGTCCTGTACCAGGAGATGCCAGAAATCCATCATGCTACGTTTTCTGAGTGAAATAGTTTCCGACACTATTTATACTTCTATAAGTAAATGTTGTAGATGAATATGTATAAGCTGCTCATGAAATATACAAAATAAAAAGTGTAACATACAGTTTTAATAATGTACCTGATGATAAAGCATGATTAGTATTTGAACTCCACCTTCAGAAAAGAAAAAAGGTAACTCTAAGCTGCAGCTTTTTGCAACAGTTCCTAACTCCAGCTTGTCAGTTTCTCATTAGCTGTCAAGTTGTGCAAGGTGCTCGGCTTAAATGAGGTAAAAAAAAAAAAAGGCACCTGTGCATCAACGTCATGCTGCATTCTGACTTGTGATTTCTGATGAAATGTCTAGAAAAATGAGAAATGATAAAAGTCTGAAAAGTTCTCGTAGCCATTTTTGGAGGCTCTTTTGGATGATCCCTAAGATTCAGATGATTGCATCTGTTCAGAATGCATTATATGTTCATATCTGAATAATATATTTGTATTCGTTCACATCCTTAGTACTAATGTAGGCCTTCAGCAGGTTTTCATGGCTGTGAAGGTTCAATTTGCCTTGCTGAGGGACAGTTATATATTTTGGGTATGTTTCCTTCTATAAATGAAGTAGGTGTGTTTTTGTCAGCTCCATAAATGTTTTACATTCTGTGCAGATGAAGACAGGATTAATATCCTTGTTGACATGAAATGTATTATACAACTTTTAAAGTCATTAGTTAAACCATGACAAACCACTGGAATATAATTTACAACAGAAACATAGAATTCTATTCCTATCACTCACACACACACACACACACACACACACACACACACACAGACACACACAAACACACATACACAAACACACGAGCACAGCACTTCCTTCTTTACCTCCATTGCCACAAGCTAAATTCCTCAATTCATTAGAGGAGAAAAACACACAGTCCAACACTCTCATACATTCATCTGGCAAATGTGGCCTGAGGAATAATGATTTACTGTGGCTCATATTTCACCTGAGTGCACAGGGCAAACAGTTGACTGAAGTGTTGTGGAGAAAATGCTAACTGAGGCATTTTTGACTGGAGCAACTGGACAGATAGTGTTTTGTGCTGTTTGTGTGAAGGTTTTTGTGTGTTTGGGTAAATATAATAAACATAATATTTATATACAGTATGTTGTAAAAATACAAGTCATTTGAAATCTACTACACAGGAGTCTTTTCCTACTTGTTTCTGAAGCGACGGAAGTCAGTGTCACTGGGCAATGTGGGCACAGATATTGTGCTGTGTATCTCAAGTGGCACAAAAGCCTCCCTTTATGGAAGCCATTAAGAATAAAGTTAAATTTTAAAGTGAATAATCATGTTTTGAAGCTAACCCATATGGCTGAACAATATGGGCTCTGTGTTCACACAGTGGACTCCTTTCTGTCTGTGCAGGAGTAAAGCCAGCACAGGTAGGGCCAGCATCAAATCAGTCTCAGCTGCCGCCCTGCCTTGCCCTGTGTTCTCCTCCTAAAGAGCTTCCACTTATCTGCCTGCCACAGGACTGTCTGTGTGCACCCAACCACTGTCATGTGGACACCATTCTCAAATTGATTGTGACAGTGCAAGAGTCCTGATTTTTCTGCTTCAGAATTCAAGCAGCCATTTCAACGCTGGTGTAATGTTTAGCTTTTTTCTTATTTATATTTTTTATATTTTTTTTATTTTTATTTTTTTTAGCAAATTCCAAGAGAATGAATACAGCTTGTGTTCCAATTTAGTAACTACATATTTTCCTTCAGTTTGAGTAAATGCTTGAGCATTTTGCTTTTTTTTTTTTTTGCTTTTTTTTTCCCCCAACGGGGGGCCGGGAGACTGGCACTCAGCAGGGAAACTTAAACAGCTCTGTTGAGTATTAGGCTCAAAGACCCTGCACAGAGCAGGCATGCAACAGAGAGCAACCTTATCTAGCATAGGACACTGTGTACTATATTTTTATACATTTGACACAATGTGTAGCCTATGTGTATATATACATACATACATTCATACTGTATATACACTGTGCAATTATGTATGGGATTATAAGCATCCTAAGTCATGTGATGAATGGGGGCTTTGCATTTTTTTCAAGAAAAAAAAAATTTCTTGAGCTATATAATTATGAATGTCGAGTCAAATATCCACGTCAAAAATTGTTTTCTCTCTCTGTCTCTCCCTCCCTCTAGCACTCCTCCTTCCACCTTGCCTCCTATTATCTGCTACTTTCTGTGGTTTGGAGTCCTTCCAGCTGGCCTCCCTTTCTTGCTCTGTGGTTTTGTTCAGGAGATTTCATCTCTCTCCTCATCGTTCCTGCAGATTGACAGCTAAGCTCAGGTATGAAAACAAACAGTTCTGGAATTGACTGGTGAAAAGAAATCCACCACTAATGCTCCTTCACAAACTCTCCTTCTTTTTCCTGCCCCTGTTGATGCTAAGCCCTAGCAGCTTACAAGAAAAGGTGGTAGAGATTTGAAATCATTAACTCTTAATAACACCATTCTACATGTCCGTCTTAAGAACACTGCCTCTACTGGATTATTGCTCTTGTTTCTACCAACACTTAATCCTAAAAAACGTCTTTACCTCGGAAACATCACATTATGTAGCCAAACACCCACATGACAATAAGATATAATTATAGATGTGTCATCTGTAAGAGCTACATGGTTGGTTGGGTTAGTAGACTTTGAAAAGTAAATCTCTGATGTTGTTGATACTATTGTTTTGTTTTGTTTGTTTACTGTACGTGCGTGTTCACCTCAACAGGATAAAGTATTCAGGGCATGTTTCAACACAGCAGCAGTAAAAGAATGTCTTTCTTTTCACTGGTAAAGCCTCGGGTCAAATTCTGTCACACTTATTGTTTTGTATTTTTATTTGATTTCTAAGAGTGGGACAAAATTATTTCCTCACCAGTCAGATTCCAGCACTTGCCTCTGCAATAACACAATTACTTGTCTTTCAAGGTTTTGATGGAACAATGTCAAAAGGTAACCTACAAGGTGTTCAGTATAATTGCTTAAAGAATCTGTGAGCTATCAGCACAGAATATACAAGGTCACTCTGCCAGTAGGTACTGTAGTCTGTATCTGAATGTCTGTCTTTATTCTCTCCACTTTCTTTTATTCATTTAAAAACCTACAGGCATGTTTGCCTTGTGTACTGATTTTAACCTAACAATTAATGGAACCTCTGATTCATCATAACACTTTAGATCTTAATCATAAGGTGTTTTCTGCTTGGTACCTTTGTTTGTGTTTTAATTAAGTGGACCTTGTGCGTCTCCAACCCTGGGCTTCTTTTTAATTGCCCGTATTTACATCAGGCAGACATCAAACGCAGAGAGAGAGACATTTGTAAGGGGGAGCACAAAGCAGCTCTTTGAAATGTCTACAGTCATATGAAATGGCATGCTAATTAAAAATCTAAGGCTGCCACTGTGATAGGAGAAGCATTTATATTGGTAACTGTGGTGTATAGACTGTCTCCATAACTCATCAACAGACAGAGGCCATAGTGTTTATTATCAGACTCCCTACCTGTTTACAAACCACCAAGTAACCTTCCCATTCCCATTCATCAGAAGAAATGCCCTGCCTGTAATTTAACAGACCAGCTTTCAAAAGGCTAAATCATTTTAAACATTTTACCCAGTGCACTTTGATCTACAGTGGCATACAGTGTACTAGGGCAGGTACAATGAATCTAGTTTACCAAGCAGTGATTTATCCTTCAGTTCATTAAGGTTATTGCCAATGAATATACTTATTAGAACATTCAACAGCCTTTTTTCCCTTTCCTCTGCAAGTGGAGAAAGTGTAATTCAATAAATAAAACCAAACACTAGTTTTATTTATGTATGTCACACATGTTTTAGAAAAAGAAACAATTAAGAAAATTATCAAAATCACCTGCACAGCAGTGAGATGACTTTTCTTCATAGGTTTGTTTGCATGAAATTATAATTGTAAAAAAGCATTTCAGTGTTCTATCGGGAACGGACTGAATTCATATTGTCTAGACGGTTTTCAAGAAATAGGAGCAAGACACAAGAAGTTGTTTGATGAAGATAATCTTCATAAGAGAGCACAGGATTCAGTGACAGCCTGGTGTTATCAGCCAGCTGTTATTGTGCTTTCCTGTGCTGTATAAACACACCAGCTCTCAGTAACAGTCAGTGCTAAGGACTGAGCAGCAGCCAGGCCCATCCTCGGCCCACCTTCATGCTGTCATAAACAGAGATTTTGGGGGAGTGCGGAGTTGCACTTTGCTGTGCAGCACTCGATACGCTGCGCAGGGCGTTCACTGTGAGAGTCAAGACATTCCACTCAAACACAGGCTCACTGAGGAGACAACTCTGTGCGTCTCCGCATCATCTCCTCTACTCTCTGAGCGGCTTCTCTACTCTCATGCTCTGTTTACGTCAAGCATGCTTTGGGTTCAGCAATTACCAGAGTGGCATGAACGCACTGCATGTGCAAGCGGAGAGTCGCTAGGTTCAGGGCCGTCTGAAGGGACAACAACAATAAACCGCTGACAAGCACAGAGCGCCACAGAATGGGTCTAAAAGGGCTGGAATTTTGAAGACAGCAGTTTGGACAGAGTTGGGCATTCCAACAAAAGATAAGGGAGGAGAGAAATGAATGAGGAGGGCAGCCAAAGGCCTTTGTTTTATTTTGCAGTACAAGGCTGTTTCTGAGATTATACAGTACATAGATTATGTATGTCTGATAGGAATGAGGCACTTGTTAACACGGCTTAAAGTGGTGTTTGTGTAGTAAATCTGCTTGGTTTTATGCAATCATTGTCGTCCTACCTTTTACTTCTGCCAAAAGTTCACTGGTGTTGAGCCTCTCCATCTTTTCTTTCCAGTCTTTAGAGAGAAGTTTCTCCATGCATGAGGATTCTAAACAAACAAAGAAATATAACATTGTATGAATATAAATGAGGAAATTATTTTAGATTTTAGATAGATATTTTTTAAATCGTGGAATAGTGTGTATGGAATTTAGTTTCTTTTCTTTTTTTTAATGTTGTGAATGTTGAGAATCTCTAAGCTTATTCACTTTAATTTAAAGAAAGATGATATCAGATGAAAGAGCAGTATTTTATTTGATGGTAGTGCACGGCAAACATTCAAAGAGACTCAGTCTGTCAGTTGGGAGATGAGCTAAGGGTGGTGTGAGGAGGGAAGCAGGCATTGTGGGGATAGCATAAGGGCAGAGACACACATTAAGTGGGAGGCAAAGAGTGAGACTGGGTATGTCCGAGCGTTCACATAGCTGCCAATGATGAAAACAATTAACATTTGTCCAGCAGACAATGAATCAGAGGAGGAATGGCTGCAATCTGCCATGCTGTCGCTGGGGTAGCTGATAAAGAACACACTGGGCCGGCCGACCCGGGCCTCTACCATCCCTGCACTGCTTAGGGGTCAGCCTGTTCCCATCAAACACCAGCAGCATGAGAAAGCTTCCACCCCTCCACCTTGAGCTACTGTCTCCACAAACTGATCAAGACATGTAGTGTCCAGTCCTGTTCCGGGTGAACAATTAACATAGTGTCTATTTGACTGATATAAAAGGACTGTGTTGATGTTTAATGAAACTGATGAAAATTTGTAAAACAGTGTTTCTGTAGATTTGGATCAAAATGCAAAACCAAAGCAGACACACTAATTATTACCACAAAGCCTAGGGGTGTAATAATGAATAGTCTAACCACATACCTACAGTGGATTATTTATGAACATAGTTCTGACAACAAAAGGACACAATTTGTGAGCATGTTAATGTTTCATATGATGAGTTTTTTTTTTTCTTAGTCTGATGTAGGTGTCATGTGTTTCCATGTTGCGCATAATGTGAAACACACACAAGCAGGGAGAAAGCCGGAGAAGGCTCTGTCACGTGATGCAGCATTGTGGACTCTTCCATTTTCACCATTATCATCCTTGACATCAGACACAGAGAGGATTTATACAGTGTAGAATGTATACAAGCGTTGTTTCCTTTTATCCTGCTGTAACATCTCTTGCCCTCCGCTTCCACAAACCAAACACTGTTGCTCCCTCTGACAAACACACTGACTTCAGAGGAACTGGGAGTAACAGGGGGTCAGTAGTTCTTGTGGCCTTGTTTAAGGATGGCTTTCAGAGAGATCAAGCAGAGTGACCATTTTGTTTGATTGTCCACTTCCTCCAATGTGATGGGGGTCGACAGGACATCTTCAGCTCAGGGTCATTATAACATTACTTCTGCTTTATTGACTTTCCAATTCCCAACTCACAGTTTGTCCCCTTGACCCTAAAAGAGGGAGAGAGAAAAGGCTGTGTGTATATGTTGTATGTGTTCGTGTGTGTTAACTCCCTCCATGGCACAAAGATCACAGATCTTAAAACAGGGGTTAAGGGCAGGGGGAGTAGCGCCTCTTCCCTCAGTGAGACAGCTTCCTCTCCCAGAACAACAAACTCCCCATACATCATAATCCTCAAACAGACACAACAACGTCAGTGCATGACATTTTCTCCCCTAAACCAAAAAAAAGGCTTATTTTTAAAGTGGTGTAAAGGGGAATTAAACAAACACAGTCAACATATGTTGATATGTACACATATGCTCCTTCTCTCTTACGCACACACACACACACACACACACACACACACACACACACGCTTTCATCACAGATGCTGCTCCAGCACTTGATCATTAAGGAATGCACCAACTGTTGGAGATAATATGGTGCCAGCTTCCATTCTACTCCAGTCCTCCCCCTCCTTTCCACCTCCCTCCCAGGAGAGCTGCCGCTCCCTCAATTCTCCATCCCCTCCGCTGGGCCAAACACGACCTGCCAAGTCCTCCAACAGGAGAGACTACAGCTGGAATGCACCGCTGTCCTCCCTGCCTTCCACCTGGGAGAGGTGAATAATGACCAGGATTAGTCTATAAAATAACTCTCAAACACCTTTCAGTGTTCAAACATCGTGGACAAAACAGGCAACCAAAAATGGATTTGATAAAAGCAGAGCAACTTTAGCGCAGGCGCACTCAAGGAAAACAGTAAATGAGTCAGATGTCTGGCTTTTTTCAAAGCACCCTTCCACAGCCTATTTTTCAGAAGAATTTAGATTAATAGGAGGAATGCTATTTCAGTTTCTAAAATGCCTGTCTGTTTTCTCTGGAGAAATTATAGATGCCAATGGAAACACTGGTTAGTATCAACATAATAATTACTGTCAGGTTATGACACAGAGAAAATCAAGTTGATGCACACTGTATTCACCATAAAATAACAAATTATTTATGATAAAAAAAATATCACACCATCAATTTCACTGGATATCAAATGCTGGTAGATTTATAAGTGAAAGGCAAACATAATTATTTAAGACAGTTAATGCAGAACTTCTGTTCTGAAGTTTTTAGTGTAAAGAAGAGTTACACACTTGTCCTCTTAAAGTAGGACATCACATACTGGGGAATTAGCTTAAACAAGAGAAGAGTCCAGTGAGTTTATTTTTATTTTCCTATGGGGGCTCTTAAATCTCTCGCACCCCCACCCCTTCCATTTCTTTCCCTCCCCCTCTCGAGATAAAATGCTCTGTGGCTGGGGAGCAGGCCATTCAGCTGGGATGAGAATGGAATGAAAACAATAGCCCTTATCAGGCTCTTATTTACATTTTCCCAGCGTCCCTGCAGTAGACAGCTTGGCTTGTCACCAAGCCCAGATCGCCCCACTGGACCCAGACCAACTTCCTCCAGCCCCAGCGATTCCAATGGTCCCTATGGACCCTTGCCTGGCACAGACCCCCTCCACTCTGCAGCTAGCACAGATAGCAACATACAAGACAAAACTACTGGAGTGTGTGTCCAAGACGTGTTCCCATTGAGAGCGGAATGGTTTCTGGACTACTAAGCCCGTCTGGGTCTCATTGTCTCTTCTCTGGGGCTGGTGCTGTATAGCTGGAAAAATGCACTGAACCCTTTCCCGAGATATTTTTTGAGAGTTTCGAAGTGGCACTCAAAAGAAAGTGAATAGTCATCACTGCTGATTTAATACTACCAGATTCAGTTTGTCTATCTCCTATCAGTGCTGTCATCTCTGATGTACAGCTACCCTATGCAGGTGTTCTGCGATTGTATTAATGTGGGTGAACAGGCACACGGATTGAGACACCTAAAGCCAAGATCAGTTGGCTAGATTAGGCTTTAGCTGGGTTTTTTTTTTGGTTTTTTTACTGTATTAAAAACAAAGCTAATGATCCTCATAAATCTCAACAAAAGAATGTTACTAGGTTGATGTGTGACATAAACAAAGCTTTCAGCACCTGGCAGTCAGGGTTGCCAGAATATCATGTTCACTGTAAACCATAGTAGTGAAGTTAAGAGGCAGGTTAATACAAACTACCTGTCCTATATCTTTACCGACTGACTCTCTGACAGTCTTGAAGGGAAGTATGGATATGTTGTGATTTCTGCTCTTTGTCTGTTTCTCAGCGTGTTTTTCTCACACAGTATGATCCCATAGCTTTTATCTCGCTGACATTTTAATGCAACAACTCATAATCTTCTTCATTGTGCACATTGTCAAGACAAAATACTTTTATTAAATCGAGTGCTAGTTAGCTATAAATTCTTGTGGTTGAGAGGCGAAGATAGGGTAAAAGTCGTTTGCTAATTTCAGTTTTTATTGCTGCTCTAAACAGAGTAGAGCATTCAAACGATCATTGCAGATTGTAGAAAAGCTCAAATCACTGAGCGAAACACTAACTAGACAAATAAACAGTTACAAACAAATCAAATCTTGTCACTTTGGAATTAGATTGGACGGTAATAAAGCAGATCTTAAAAATTCATGACACACTAATTTTCAAATGGCTCTCCAGATTGCCATGGAGATATGAAGTCCAGTGTGTGTATTAAAGTTCACAAATATACCAGCACTGCCTGGGCAAAAAGGCCATCTTCACTTTTACATATCGATGTTTTCAATCTCTAAAAGGTTCAATCTATTTAATGTGTTGATGCAACAAAACACGCCATCATGTTTCAAAAGACCGTGACTGCTTCAAAGCGCAAAAATGGTTTGTTACAACACGCAGCAGTGGGTGTTTTATTACCCTGTGTTGTCAGCAATGAAAACGCTTCAACTGTCTGCCACCACATTCTGAGCTTCTCTGTGTGCACTATTCTCCCGGGAGAAAGATGATACTTGTGTTTGAGTGTTTGTTGTGTTGAAAAGCCGTTGGCAGAGAAAAGAGGGCTATCAAGGAGAGTCAAATTAGCCATAAGTCATGGATAACAGACTCAGAGACCTCCCCTTTAGCATTGGCCTTGTATATCAGTTGTCCCAGCCTCAAGGGGAAACATGTAATTACCAAATCAATGATCAACTGACACTGACCATATACATAATTTCCTCCCCAGAATGCAGAGGCCTATACAGTGAGGGGCCAAGAGGAAATGGGGCTTAGAGTCTCTAAACAAGCTTCAGCTTGACTGGAGCACATATTTTACAATTTGTCATAATCCAGTTATAGTCAACCAGAACCAAAACCTCCACAGAACATTAAACCGGGCATTTGGAAGATCTATGAACTGCAATAATAAAACTGAAGAATTAAAAAAAAAAAAAAAATGAATAAATAAAGTGTTACTCTAAGTAGTGTCATGAAATAAAAATAATTTCCTGTTGCAATTTAATCATATGGAATAACTGCTCAAAATATTAAGGTATTAAAACTACATTTGCAAAAAACTGAAATGAATTGTATGAAACCTGACCCACCAGTAACCATTTCCTTAAACAAGCCTCTTAAGCATTCTGTCTATAGACTTACTTTTTTAGCTGCAGCCAAACAAGTGTATGAAATGTGCCAACATTACAAATGCAATTTGTTGGAAAGTA